GCAAGCTGGGCGCGCTCGCGCCACATCCAACGTCCTGCCCTTCCCTCCCATGTAACCCCAGTCTGTTTTTTCTCCATTTAGTCCATTCCCATTCATTCCCATCCATTCCTATCCTACCTTTCCCTCCCATTCCCACCTACAGTCAAGACGCTGAAACAAGGAACAGTTTGGGTTCGGAAGGGGCTCGATGTTCCTCAGGTTCCTCCAGTGCTGTTCCTCTTGCCCTCCTTGGGCACGGAGGCGCTTACAGGGCCAAGATGGGGTTTCCTTCCTTATTTGACGTTCCTTCTTTCAGCAGCCCGACTGTATTCGCCAGCGGGTGTCATAGCGGACGTCTAACGTCCTAAAGGACCCCATCGCGTTACGCCCAAGGAAGTTGGGAGGGGGAGCGGCGTGCGCTGGAGGAGGAGAAGGAGGAGGTGGCGGGTGAGCCGGAGGATGAGCATGAGGAAGTGGGGGAGGATGACGAGGGAGGAGGGCGAGCAGGAGCTGCAAGAGCAGGAGCAGGAGGAGCGGGAGGAGCAGGAGGACCAGCAGGAGGCAGGGGAAGGGAGAGGCAGGGGGCGACCACGACGAGGAAGCACTCGGAGCAAGAAGTGCGGCCCGCGCTGGGGCGCGAGCGCCATTCCTGGATGACGGAAGCAACGCGCCGATCCCAAAATGTGGTCAGCGCTGCAGCGGGGGCACCCGCTTGCGAGTGCCGAAGACGCTCGGATGGAACAGCCACAGGAGGAACAGAACAGCTCGGAGCAGTCCTGTCTGTAATGAATCCGCACGCGAGGGGGGTGCGCTGTTCTCAGGCCGTCTTCGGGGGCGAGAGGTGAGCATATGATATAGTTGTCAGGTCGAGTCCGTGTGGGGGGGCAGGGGGAAGGCGGGGGGGGGCCAGAAGGGGGAGGAAGGAGGAGGACGAAGACTGGGGGCGGAGGGAGCGAGCAGCAGCGCGAGAAAAAGCTGGTGCAGGATCAGCAGCGCCAGCGGCAGCACAGCAGCCGCCCGGAGAGAGGTCTCGGGCAACACGAGCCTCCCGACGATGGCCCTCGCGGAGAAGGCCGCGCGCACGATCCTGGCGGGCGAGCGGTGACGCGCTGCCCCGTCGGAGAGGGCGGCGGGCCTAGCGTGCCGTGGCGGAAACAGACGGGGGGGGGAACAAGCGTCGCTCTCCTCCCAGGCGCCCTCCCAGATGCCCGAGGGCATGACGGCCTCCAATGTGGCCGTGTTTGTCCGCGGCCTCGTTGGCCTCCGCATCTGATAACACGTCAGCAAGTGACGCTCAGGTGCAGGTCTCTCCGGATCCTCATCCGCCCCCCCTCTCGCATGGCCCAAGGCTTCCGGTTTACGGTTTACCGTTTTCAGTTGTCGCGGGCCCAGCGTGCGCGCGGGTCGCTCCAGCGACCCAGGGGCATCGGACCACGACCTGTGCCCTGCAAGAGCCAGGCACAGAGGGGCCGGCCGGCCGCGGAGGGGAGGAGCGCGCGGGGGGGGCAGACTCAGACCGTGCAGGCCTTCGTCGGCATGTTGCGGCCCAGGCTCGCACGAGACGTTGGAGGAGGGACGCCAGGTCGTGCCCGGACGAGAGGCCCCCAGCAAGCCCGCGCGCATGCCGAGGGGGACGAGCATGCCAGCAAGAGAGAGAGCGAGAGAGAGAGAGAGAGAGCGAGAGCGGCTCTAGGCGTTCCCACCCACACCATCCCCAGGCTCGGGGCCCGCGCCCACGAGCCCCCACCACTCTCGTCCTCAGGGAGCTTTCGGTCCCATCGGCGAGAGGGTAATGGTGGGTAATGGTGGGCGTCGGAAGCATCATCCTCGTCCAGGTCTTTTCCCCATACATTGCTCCTCCCTGCCGAACCCCCGGACGTGTCCGTAGGACGGGCCGGGCGTTTCGCGTGAGACCTCCGCGTGAGAACAGCCTTTCGCATGGAGAGCGGGCGGTCTTGAACATGTGGTTCTGGCTGTACCGCCGCGCACATTAGTTTTAAACGTCTGCAGCGAATTTCAAGGATGGAGCGCCCTTTTCAACATGTGGCTCTCGCCTCAGCGGCGCGCACATTCGTTTTGAACGTTTGCAGCGCTTTGAAGGATGGATGGCGGGCCTTTTTCAAAATGTCGTTATCGCGTTAGGGACGCGGGCATCCGCTCTGAACACCTTCAGGGGAGCAAACGGTTGAAGTCCCAGGAGTAGCGTCTTGGTACCATCTAGGATGGCCAGGGCGCAGCGGTGACCTTGACACGGGGTGCCGAAGTCCCAAGAATGGCGTCCTGCGACAATGTTGGATTGTCCGAACGCAACGGCCACGTTGATTCGTGGCGTTGAAGTTTCAGGAGCAGTGTTTTGGCACGTTTGATGATTCTCAGACGGATGTCTTTCAGCAGGGCATTTCCCGCAATGAGAGCCAATTCTTTCAGGGACATGTGAAGAGGGAGCTTGGAGGGAGGATGTTTCGCAAGATCGTTGACGCGTCTTGGGTTTACGTCGGTCCTCCTCATCCTCCCCTGGCTCCCCCCCCACCTCTGGCACGTCGCCTCCTCCTCCTCCTGCCCCTTCTCCTCGTCGTGCTTTTGGTCCTCCTCATCTTCATCCTCATCCTCCTCGTGCTGTCAGTATCGCTGACTCTTCGTGTATCCCGACCAGCCTACCCAGAAAAGATGCCTTGACGGGTTGCATCGACCAGGGAAGTTTGCGAGCATACAGTGGAACAAAGAGGGAAGGGGGGCAGTCGTCGAACCGAGCATCGGGCTCGGCCTGAGCAAGGCCATACATCAAACATCAATTGTTTCGCGGATCTTTCGGCATGGGAGCCGCTTGGGAGCTCATTTGGGCCATGGTGAAGCCATATTAGGGCAAGCTTGGACTTATGTGTTGGGCTATCTTGTGGTCCTCTTGCAGCACTCTTGGGAGCCCTGGGAGCCCTCTTGGGGCAATCTTGGAGGCCATCGATGAATAAAGAGGAGTCCAGAATTAGCGTCTCCCCGTCGGAGGCAGAACAACGCCACGTGCGGCAACATTGGGAGGCTCTTGGGGTGCGCTTGGGGCCCTCTTGGGGCACTCTTGGGCCAAGACGGCCGACAAAGCAGAAACCAGTGATGCTCCTTATGTAGGTGTTGGAAGGATGTTGGTCTCTCGAGGGCGTCCTTGGGAGGCTCTGCGGCCACTTCGAGCCTCCTTCTTGCGATGTTGAGTCCTCTTGGAGGCATGTTGCAGGATATCTTGAACCACCCCGGGTTGTCTTGTACCGTTTTACGGGGCCAGATTGGCCTGAGGAGGCGATTGTGGAGCCATATTGTGTTATCTTAGCCGATCCAACGCGTCGCGACCCCCCCTCCAGACTTCGGGCCAAGAGCAGGGAGTATGGGAATGGGTAGACCCTTCCAGAAAGAAAGGAAGGGTGTTGGAATAACTAACTCCCCAATCTACATAAGGCCAAAGGGCTGGCAGCATTGACTGGCAGGATCAATCGTCTTCCTCCTGGTCCTCCTCAGTCTCATCTCTCCCTTCCCTCCTTTCCTCCTCCTCCTCCGCCTCCTCCTCCTCTATCCCTCCCTCCTTCCCTCCTCCTCCTCCTCCTCCTCCTCCTCCTCCTCGTCCTCCTGGTTCCAGTTCCTGAGGGCGCTGGGGTTGTTCAGACGCCGCCCCCCCCTCCCCCCCCAGGGGCCGTCGTCCAGGAGGGGGTTGAACACATTTCCTCCTCCTCCTCCCTCCTCCTCCTCCTCCTCCTCCTCCTCCTCCTCCTCCTCGCGCTTCGCCAACTCACTGGTTCCTCTGCTTCAAAGCTGTGCGCGTCCCGCTTAGCTTTCAGCGGAAGAGGTTCGCTCTCGCCCCGCAGATCAAGAAAACATCTTTCTGGATGCCTCCAGGCCTCCCAAGGCCCGCGCGGGCTCCCAGAGGCACTAGAAAGGCCCCCGCCAACATGCCAGAGAACGCTCAGAACCCCCGATCTCGGTCCTCCTCCTCCTCCTCCTCCTCCTCCTCCTCCTCCTCCTCCTCCTCCTCCTCCTCCCCCTCCGTCTCCTCCCTCCTCCTGCTCCTCCGCATCCTCCTCTTCCTCCTGATCCTCCTCTTCCTGTTCCTCCTCCTCCTCCGCCTCATCCTCCTCCCCTCCCTTTTCCTGGTCCCACCTCCGCCTCCCTCTCCTCGCCTCTCCTCCCACATCCTCCTTCTTCCTCTCTCCTCCCCCTCCTCCTCCCTCCTCCTTGATCCCTCCTCCTCCTCCTCCCTCCTCCCTGATCCTCCCCTCCTTCTTTTCCTCTTCGTTTTCCCTCCCTCTACTTTTCTCCTCGTCCTCGTCCCCCTCCTCGCCCTCGACCCTGGATCTGAGTCCTCGCCGGGCCGTCTCGCAAGACCGCGCGGTACGCTCCAGCGCGCGGGTGCAGGCCGCCCGTCCTGCAGCCGTGGGCCCCGCTCTGGGGGGGCCCGCCCCGGCCCGATCCTGCCTCCTCCCCCCCCCCATCATTTCTCCTCCTCCTCCTTTCCTCGCCCTCTCCTCCTCCTCCTCCTCCCCTCCTCCTCCTCCTCCTTCTCCTCCTCCTCCTTTCCTCCTCCCTTTTGCCCCTCCTCCTCGTCCGTCCGCCTCTCCGTCACTTTCTGCTGCTCCTCCTCCTTCCTCCTTCCCTCTCCTTCTCTGATAATCATCATATACTCCTCCTCCTCCTCCTCCTCCTCCTCATCCTCCTCATCCTCCTCCTCCTCAGGGACTGGGGATGCGGACTGGTTCCTCCAGATGGAGCAAGGCCCTCGTCCCCTCCACCACTCCCAGTCTCGTCTCCTCCTCCCCGTCCTCGTCCTCCTCATCATCACCACCACCACCATTTCCATCATCATCATCATCATCATCATCATCATCATCATCATCATCATCATCATCATCATCATCATCATCATCATCATCATCATCATCATTATCATCATCATCATCATAATCATAGTCATCATCATCACCACCATTTCCATCATCATCATCATCATCATCATCATCATCATCATAATCATCATCATCATCATCATCATCATCATCATCATCATCATAATCATAATCATAATCATCATCATCATCACCACCATCATCTTCAGCAGCATCAGCATCATCATCATCACCATTATCATGTTTTGCATCACCATCCATATCCTAATCCGCCTTCTCCTCGTCATCTTCATCACCAAAGTCAGCATCACCAAAATCAGCATCATCATTGTCATCATTACAGTCGTTGTCACCAACCGTACCATCCCCATCGACATCAACAGCACCATCAGCATCATCGTCATCATCATCTGCACCTGTGTTGCCTCTTGTGCCTCTTCCCCGTGCTCCTTCTCCTTCCCTATCCGAAGTCGTCTTCCTTCTCCTCCCCCTCGTCGCTCATCTTGCTCGCCGCTCCACCTTTTTTCCTGTCCCCTCATTCTCATCATCACCATCATCACCATCACCACCATCATCATCACCATCACCATCATCATGAGTATCGTCATCGTCCGCATCATGACTACAACAACCATCATCACCATCATCATCATCACCGTCACCATCATTGTAAGTACAATCATCATCACCATCAGCATCATCAGCATCCCCCCTCGTCATCATCAGCACCAGAAACAGCATCATCATCAGCATCACCATCATCAACATTATCCCCATCAGCATCAGCATCATTGGCATCAGCGTCGCCATCATGATCAGCATCACCACCATCATCAGCATCATAGTCATCACCGTCATCACCATCATAAGCAACATCACCAACAGAATGCACATCATCATCCTCAGCATCAGTACCACAGTCACCTTTACCATCCTCATCATTCTTATTGGCAGCATGATGATCACAATCACCTTCGCCGCCACCACCATCAGCATCAGCATCGTCACCATCACCACCATAATCCTCACCATCATCATCATCATCATCATCATCAGCATCATCAAGGCCATCACCGTCATCAGTTTCCACATCACCATTAGCAGTATCATTGTCATCATCTTGATAAGCAACACCACCACCATCAACATCAGCATCATCATCATCAATAGCATTATCAGCAGCATCATCATCATCAGCATCATCATTATTATCAGCGTCGTAACC